CGCTAAAGGGAGGATTTGTTAATCAATGCACAAGGTTGAAGCCCTATAACTGTAGTCCAGTGCAACCTCCAGGATGCAGATTCACAACAATACTCATTAAAATTCCAAAATTCCAACATTGGCACTTAGACAAGGAGCAGTAGTAATTTAAGTGTTTTACTCTGTATTTCTGACACTGTACAATATGCAATGATTAATGTGTTCAAAATCAATGGGAATTGTGCATTTCAGTATCTCTTACAGGTAGTTAAAGGAAACACTGATCTTGTGTCAAGGATAAGTGAGAAACATGTTATGGCATCCATTTTCAGAAGCAGTCACTGATTTGGGGTGCCCCTCCTCCTCCGAGTTCAGCTGACATTGAGGTGTTATGTACTTATGAAAATGAGTTCCAAGTTGCTTTAAGCTGAGCACCCAAAACAGCACTGGACAATCTTGACGTTTTTGGCCTGTTTGGCTTATCCAAGGCCATGGAGTTGGGGGCAGGGGGTATGTCAGTGCTAGAATTAGAAGTCAAGAGTTCATTTCCCAGTCTTATACTCATCCTGACCCTATTTGTAACTGTCTTTCTTCTGTGAGTCATGCATATTACCCTGAATATGTAATAAAAACTTTCCCCATCAAGGATTTAGAAAATTTGTCTTTTTTCTCCCTCTTTTCATATGCTTTCCATTTTAAAAAAGAAGGATTGTGATGTGGAAGGCAGAGAATTTAGGTCCAAGAGGAGCTGCAAAGGAAGAAAATTCACTCCCTGTCAGAGACGAGCTGAGCAGGGTGCAGTGCCCAAGGCAAATCAGTCCGTGTGGGGCTCTGCCCGTGGTGGCAGATTTGGCAGCTGGGGGGGTGGAGGGGTTGCTGAGCAGCCAGATGTAAGACAGTGGCAACGCAGAGTCACCACAGATCTCTCCACCTGGCTCCACGGGGTCCCCGAAAGCATGGGGCCCAGGCCAGTCACCCCAATTCACACCCCCCACCCTCCCCCAGGGACAGCCCTGCTCCCTGTTCTGGCCTTCTTCAGGAGTACAAGGTATGGTTAAAAATGAGAAGAGGCAACTGTAGCTTATCTTGTGATCTTAATAGAGTTGCTTCTTTCCAACTGCTGTCTCTAATATTACTCATTTTCCCAATTCAAACCCCTCAATTAGGTCCCAGTTACAATGTCTCCAAAGTCCAGCCATACCTGAAAACTTCATACTGCTTAGTCTTCCTCAGCTTTCAGTGATGCCCCTCACTCAGCTCTACCATCTGATATTTGTACCCCATAGCCGTTGTTTTGCAAAGTAACTCCAGGCTCCTGAAAGATGTGTCAAGGCCTAGAAGCTTTTTAAAAGAGCCTGCTCTTTTTTTCCCTTTGTTGCTGTGTCTGCAAAAAGAAGTAACCTTTAAGATTATAAAACAATACAGAAATAACTGTTTTGTTAGCCATACATGTTTCCTGCTTATGCCAATGATCGTGTCCATTTTTAACCGCATTAGGAAAGTCACACGGATATTTCTAACACCATAGCTAAGACTGATACACAAGTTAAAGCCCATCCTAAGTGCAATAATGACAGAACATATTATTATGTTGCGCTGTATTAATCAGTTCTATGAACCAGAGAATCACCCTTGCAACTAATTGTACTTTTGAGTGCTTCCTAGAATAGCTCTAAGAAGATAGGGAAGTTGTCAAGAGGGCTCATTTTAAAAAACATGATGGATAGCTGTAATAAGCAGCAAAGACTACTACAGAAAGAAGATCCATTTTTCATGGAACTGTCAAATATGTCCCATGACATGACAAGCAGAAGTGCCAGTAACTAACAACTGACATAATATTGTGTTATGTTTTCCTAGGAGTCATCAGCCACTCTTTATATTGGTTTTCTCAATGTAAATACTGCATCGTTTTCCATTAGGTTGCAAAAAATAAAGGTTGCCCAACTATCAATAGAGAGGTTTTTAAAACTGCTTGTATTTAAACATTCCCATACAGTGTGCGAAACAAATATGACAGCATCATACCAGTGGGTAAGAACAAGAAAGCTTAACTACTCATTGTTCAAATTGAAGGAACATAGGAATAGAAGATGAAAGCTGTTGTAGTATCACAGAGTAGGCCTATGCAGGTCACAAAACCAGTAATGAATAAGTGGAAGATATTGCTCATAAATAAGCTCTCATAAAATAACAAATGGACCCAAGAACCAAGGATATTCCTCAAACCACACATCTCTTTGTAATTATCAGAGGACATTTGGGAATGCTGGTGGTATCAATAGTAAATTTAAAAAATCCTCCACAATGAATGGCTAGACCAAGGTGTCACAATATGTGCAGCCAGATCCTTTGGAGTGCAAGGTCTGAGGAGATAAACAAATACAATATGTGCATGTTCAGGCTTGACCCTGCCTGGCTGATCCCACCCCCACCCCCAATGCCAGCCCCTCTGCAAAGAGATAAAACATGGTAACATATAAATTAGTTTTTGAAATTGGGTGCCATTCCATTGACAAAAGTTATGAAGGGATGCCTTGAGTCATGTAGAATATTAGAGGCCCCCATTCTGCAGTCTGTCCTCAGTTAAAGCTCCTGCTGAAAAGGGTGAGCATAGTGCCTATGAACTAGCCACAGGATCAAGAGCAAACATCAACAAGGAAGAAGTAAGCCATGTTCTCCTCCAAGACAGAGCACGGCTAGCTTTAACAGCTCTAGAAATTTCTTAACTTTGAAACCAGACAGCAACAGACAGAAAAATATTACAAAGTATCCTAACCCTGGCTTAGTGACAACAGATGCTTCAGTCAAGTTACAAGAGAAGGACCTCAGGGAAAAAAATAAGAGAAAAACTACAGGTACAATAACCTGAATAATTTGCTAGGCTACACACTTCCTGAAATGTAGAAAGCAGTATACAAGAACTGGCCCAGCATCTTGATTAAATAATTAGCATACTTCTGGACTTACTTAATGCTTTTTCTTGTTATCTAGTGGAAAGAAAAGGACTAGTATTCTAAGGTTCAATTGTACTGCCAAATAGCAAAGAATGGAAATGGTATCCTCTTCTTTGCTCTATAAAAACTAACTGCTTTTATAAAAGAATTTGTTCAATAACCAGGACCACTGAAGCTTTGCCCAATTCAACAAACATCTGGGAAGGGAAGAAGGTAAAAATGTCTACTGCTTATTGAAATGTGGTAAAATGTCTTACTGAATGTGGTAAAAGGAAACAGGAATCAAGCCACAGTTCTACTGAGATCAACAGGAGTTTTGCAATTGACAAGTCTTAGTCCAACCCTATCTTAAGGCTAATGAGGCCCCTTGGGTGCCACTGGTCTGGGTATTTGCTGCTCTAGGTGAGAGGACAGTAACAAACATCCAGTGCCCAAAAAGAGACAGAAAACAGCAAACAGAGGGAAATTTACCTAACCATTGCTATAGTCACTCTTTCAGAAAGGCTATCCTTCTCCAACAGTGATTCTCCTTGTTTTAGAGCCACCTTTTCGACAAACAAGTGAGATCTAATTTTAACCAGCTCCATTTTCACAGGTTAAATACTGGGAAAGCCTACATAAGAAACACTGAACAGAACAAAGATTTACAGGCCATGTGGATAAACTCTGGGAAAGAAAAGTTCAGTGCAAATGATCAATCTTTACTGAAAAAAGACACTAACAAATTCTGGTTAAAAATTATGACCTGTCAAACTTAAAACATGCGATTACTTAGTAACCCTACAAAAGTAGTTATGTAGGATCATACAAGCAAATGCTAGCTGGTTTGTTCTTCCCAAAAGCAGAGCAGGAGGAAGTCACAAGCGATACAGCAGGTGCTTCAGTATGAAAGGGACATCTGATGTGCAAGTCCTTAGTAAAGGATACCAATGTTATTTTGACTTTTTACTGTTAGCCGCCCTGAATCTTTGTTGGAAAGGACAATATATGAATTAAATACATAGATAATAAAAAAGAAAGATATAATTCTAGATATATAACAAGTGATAGGTATGCAAAGACAAAGTGAGCATCCAAATTCCAGTACAGACATGTAAAGCTTAACGCATTTCTATCTCCGTCCTTGTGCAATAAAGTTCCAGCTTCTGAAAATTCTAAAAGGCAACGACCAAAAAGATAATTAAAGGACTGGAGCACACAGTAATGAACATGGCAACCTTTAGGATTATCAGGAGGAGGAGAATGTATGTGATTTCAGAAAGGAAAATGGTATGTTTCCAAGGATTTTAAACGTTTTCCCGCTATTATTTCAGTATACAGCAAAATGAGAAGCCTATCTAGATCTGGGGGTTCTAATGCTTAGCTAGAGAGGATGAATTCAGTTCCAATTCAGTTGCTTTTTCACTCAGAAATTTAAGACTAGCCTTAAGTTTTCTGAGACACCCAAAAATAAGGGAGAAAAGCAAGCTATACAAAAAACTGTGCAGAACGTGTTTTATTCACGCTTGTAATTTTGCCAGGCATCTCCACTTCACAATTTGGAATAGCTAATCTAAATGATTTCCAGTCCCCCAAAATGAGAAAGAATCGCCCACCCTTTGGGTGGAGCAGTCCAGTACACCGATGAGTTTAGATCGGTGATTCACAACCAGGATGTCACAGCACCCTGGGGTGCCTTAAAATCTTTTCAAGATGCCGCAGGACCTTAGCCCTGATCGGCTTGCAAGCGGGATTCACAAGATAAGCCTACAGGCTGCAAACAGACATTCATAGTTGTGGTCTTTCCGAGTTGCCTGCAACAGAAAAACGACTCTATTATGTGTCTGCTGGCAAAAAAAAACCCGAGTGCAAACTCAGAGCTGGCATTTTCCAAGAGGCGCCTCGGGTCTGTCAAGGTTGAGAAGCAGTGCTGAAGCCAAGCCCCTCCACACTTCAAGGTGTCTGCGGGCCCCTCAACCTCTCCAAAAGCCAGGCTCCGCGCAACCACGAAGTGTCACATACTCGCCAGGGAAGCCAAGGGCGCTCCCACGCCCAGGGAGCCAGCAACTCAGGCGCTTCTCTTACCCCGTGGTAGGGAAGGAGCCGGCAGCCGGGGGCAGGACAAGCCCCCTCCCAGTCCCCGGCTGCCCCGACCGGTCTGTGGGGCGCCCTGCTCGCCGTCCGCCCCGCGCTACTGAGGCCGCAGCGCGGCTCCTTCAAGCCATGCCGCACACCCTGCAGAACTGGCCCCCCACCCCTCCCGCTCTCCCCAGCCGCCCAGATGTGCCGCAGCTGGCCCCGCCCCGCGCCGCCTCCCATTGGCGGCCCGGCCTCGCCGCGCCTCCACACTGGCTCCGGCCGCAGTCAGTCCCGGC